TACAAATAGGAATAGCGATAGGGAACGTCCTTTCAAAAGCATTTCCCTACGAAAGGCCAACTATGTTTTTTGATTGTCTCTGGCCCATATCGCTCGAAATGACTGGCTCTTAATTGAATTTTATCGCGTTTTATATGGAACACCGGATATCTTGTGCTTCAACACCCCATCTATCTGATATTTCAATGTTTTGCCAGATATATTTTTCAGATTTGCGTCACAGGAATTCAGCAGCCATCATAGGTCCCGAGAGGGTTTCCACCTGGCTTTTATTCTTATCCGCGTCGTTGGTTCCTGAAATTATTTCACTTTCACATGAGTTTCCGGACGGAAATGTCCGCCTTGATTTCGGCTCAAATGACCTCGCCCAGCGATGAATTAGCTGCTATATATCGAGGCAAAGGTATCGTCATTGCCACGGTGATGTGATGAACAGCTGAGGGTATGTGGTCAGCAACAACCTAGCTTAGGCTCGTATAACAACTGTTATGTAGTAGCAAATTATTATTTAGCAACTCTTGTAGTCTTCATGGTACTTATAAATACTTCCTATTATGAAGGTTTCTTTTCCTCTATCTTTTACATTCCACGTTTCTCTCTACATTTGGAGAAGAAATTTGGTCGCATTTCTTATAATTTGTATTTTCCTACTAGTATTTGAACGTTGCATTTTCCACTATATTGTTTCAAATGAAACTGTTTTAACTAATACTCGAAATGTCTAGTAATTTTACTGCTTTTTTCGCAGTGTTATGATGTTATATGTAAATCTGAGAGAACTGAGTCGTGAGCAAAACACGGCCTAGGCAGGAATCAAACCCGCGTTTCATCCATACCGGGGACGCGTGCTAATGCCACTAGTGGTAGTTGGTGTAGTGGTACTCACACGCATCCCGGTATGGATGAAATGTGGGTTCGATTCCCTTCTTTGCTCACCATTCAATGCTCTTAGGTATATGAGAAACTGTTTTCTTGGCTTAAAGAGACTGATATGCTACTTGGGTTGTGCAAAAAGTTCCGAGAAATTAAATTAAATTTTCAAAGTTTCGCTTTTATGCGCAAATCAACAACAAAAAAGACAATAACTGCTATTCTTCAGATTTTAGGCTAACGTTGTTCAAGACTTTGTGCCATTCTTATTCTTATTCTTCTTGTGAACAAAGTCAAATTGGTGCAAGTTGTTGACAGTGAATCTCTATTACCAAGCTGTTTAGTCAAATCACGAGAGCTCGATGAAGGCCCGGCATCCGAAGCGGCTCGCAAGCCACTTTTATCCAAAACAGACGGCCTGCCAGAATGAGGCACTTCTTCGAGATCAAAATTGCCTCCTCTGAATTGCTAGACCATGTGTCACAGTCGATTTTATCGCCGTACCAGTACCTTCACCCTCGCTAATCTCGTCGGCTTTAATTCTTCAATAATGGCGGATCAGAACACCCAAATCATGCTGATAAATAGGCATTTTGGAGCTTAAATTAATGAACTAATTAAGCATATACAAAACTTTCGATAACAAACCACACCGAGATGTCAAAAGATAAAACATTGGGAATTTCCCGGAACTTTTTGTTCAACCTAACTATGCGATTGCATCGTTCCAAAAAATTCAGACGCTATCCTTTGTTTTCTCTTGAGGCATGAATTCAATTGGCTTGTTCTATTGCAAAAGTGCAAAGAGGTGTTTTTTGTAGCTGGCAGTTTCTTCACCAAATATCGATCCTCGTCTAAAGGACTTCGGGAATGCAAGTTTTTGACTTCGAAGCTCTTTCTTGCTGCGAGTATAAAATTTCGATATATGAATCTATTGGTGAGCCAGTTTAACATTATTGCCGTAGCACTATGGCGTTTTGTTATGAACACACTGAAATTGATGATATTGATGACGATGCGAATTAATAGAGAGCAGCGTTTCCATTGTTGGTTTTGTCATCGATGCGCTTTAGTGTCGTCGATCCTATTGTAAATTCTACTATCTCCTGAATGAGAGCTTTAGCAGTAATATGAGAATTTACGATTTAGTTTGTGTGTAAGTAGGTCCTGAATGCTTAGCCGATAGGTTCGCCACCGAGCGCCCAACCGCCTTCGCAGGCCTGACGGACCCATACGAATTTCCGAGCGATCGGCCCATCTGTCATTGCTCCTCCATTGCTCTGTCCAACATCATCGCTCTGTTCTTCTTTCTCCACACTACACATATTGCTGCTTTTTCTTCCATTCACATGCTTGAAGCCATTCTTGTGTCTTCTCATTGGAATAGCCACGAATGAATCCTGCTCACTTCTAGGCAGAACTTGTGCTTTCAATTTTTCACACGCTTCGAAACATTTGGGAATGTCAAATAAACAACTGGGATATTCCTTTCGAGATTAATGCTTAGTAGAACGATGATTGTCTTCATATTTTTTGAGATTTTTCGACTCACGCGAGGTTGATAGCAATGTTCATTCAGCTACAGTCCTTGTTGTCTGTTCGCTTCTTTTGTTCCATATTTTTACAGTGTTTCAAATTTTCTCAAAATGTTAGGCTTTTATTTTTTAGAAAAGGTCAGTAGTTGAAAAGAAAATTTTCATCGTTTGAATGGAAATTTCGTTTTTATGCATAAATCGTGTATGATTTTCATATCATTTGAAAGATCTACTTCTTGCGCATCTACTGATATATAACTTGTGTAGTTGGCCAGTTGGCCAGTTGACAAGTTGACCGAGATGTACCCAGAACTTGTTTGTCTAAAGCGCGCTTTGTTTCATCAAGACAACGCAAAACCACGCACAGCCAAAAAGACCAGGGCAAAGTTTGAGGAATTGGACGGAGTTGAGATTCAACCGCATCCAGCCTATAGTCGGGACGTTGCTCCATCTGATTATGGCCTTTTCCGATCAATGCCACACTTTTTAGAAGGTCGCCGATTTGAATCTTTCGATGAAGATGAAGAAGCATGTCAAGAGTTCTTTGATTCAAAGCCGAAGGAGTGGTACTATCATGAGATGCGAAACCTGGCGGACCGATGACAAAAAGTGGTGGATAATGATGGCTTGCATTTTGAAGAACAGTTGTTGTTGTTGTTGTTGTTGTATATTTCAGTTTCAGTGATAGTTGAGTCGTTACTTGTATACTTTGCGATACAGTCTGTTCTTTGATTCGTCCTGATTTGCCCGCCACGCGGAATTTTGGGATAAGATTTATCCTTACAACGAACAACCTAAATATGTCAAAATATGTACACACATATGTACAGCAACCATCATGAGTATTAACGATACGAACTCAATCATACAAGTGAACGATAAAGTTGATGCCAAGGACAAGTGAGTGACGACGTCGAAAAATGAGTGATCGAGATACATGATAGGAAGGGATTATTTGTAGCTGATGTCTTGACACCTACTTAACATTATCGACAGATGAGTAGAAGAAGATAAAGAAAACGAACAAGCAACGAGGTCAAAAAGAGGAATCGAGAGCCAGTGTGGTCGTAGCTCTCGAACATCGCCATCCTCCATGACGGCTGAGCAACCATGTCGTCGACAGGTGTCCACCATCGGCAATGTTCCGGGTACATCGCGATCTCGGGGCGATAAACACGCTAATTACGTCGCCTTCTGATCACTTGAGGCAGTGTCCACAGCATACAATGTTATACTTACTCGATAAATTTATCTTATATTTTCATCCTTTACATGGTGTTGTATTATCTTCAGTATGTTCATGTGCGACGCAAAAGAGGAAATAGCATCTGTTTGACGGAGGCTGCTATATTGTTGTTGTCTGAATATATGTATAAATTTTGAATGTTCTATCAAATGATGGAAACTTTCTTTCCAGCCTAGTATATGGACGAGTGCACTCTGATGTCGCCAGCGTCCCTGTGTCCAAAGTACGAAATTTACGGAAATTGTACTGCTCTTCATCTCTATTAAGCAGAATACTGACAAATGTCGGTTAGTGAACACATTCTGGATATCGTAGTTTTCTTTGCGGCTCTCTGTCTCCCGGATGAAATTAGCCCGTCGAGGTGCCGGCTAATGCGAGCTTATCGGTGCTTACGTCCGTTACTTTGACACTGTTGTTGACGAGACGTTGTAGCACTATTTTCCAATCTGATTGGACCTTTTTCTGAGGTTTGGCAAATATGATTTCGAAATGGGCTTGTTTTTTCTCGTGATTTGTAGGCAGCTAAACAGACACGGCCATCATATCAAAATTTTCTGACATATTCTCTGCTTCATAGACGATACTCTGATCTTTTCGTACATGAAATTCGGAGCTTTGTTGAAAGTGTCATGTAATCATCTGATCACGAAGTTCCAACAATTGGCAGATGTTCCGTGATTGATCACATTTCCATCACTGCTTTCCGAACGATCTTTAGTTTAATAGTTTATTATTTCAGCATGACTAATATATTAGTTATTTATTATTCATTTTCAATGTTATTTAGCAGTTTATTCCAACCTCATAAAACTGCTAGAAATCAGTCAAATCAACAAAATATCGGTTATCTTTAGTGTATTGCGATTCTCTGCAGCCCAGATATTATAAATGCTGCCCCAAATAACTCATTTTTATATGTTTAAAATTGATCGTTGATTTAAAGTTGTTCTAATCAACACATTTTGATGACAATTTTACATATGAACCATGAGAGTGGTCAAAATAAATCGGACATTAACTTTGAATAAGGGCATGTGATCTTGTCGAGGACTTTATTCGTTGTAATAAAAGCTGGAATCTATAGTTTCACAGAAGTAGGATTGGAATTAACGAGGGTAATTATTATAGCAGTTGAATATAAATAGAATAAGTATTGTAGCATTTTAAAGAGGTATTCCTAACCTAGGAGCGATAGGATGAAGTTTTTTGTGTGAACGCATCACCTTTATTAGTTCTCAAATGCTTCAGTTATGAGAGCTATTATAAATCGGAATTCATTTATTTGACCGCCTCTTGCGGTGGTATGACCTTATGGCATACCCAATAATGTATTGCTGTGCAAAAACATTTGCGTCAGTCGGGGTTCCAACCCAGATCTCACTCTTTCCAGGAGCGCGAGCTGAACCGTTGCACTACCGACGCTCGTTTTCCTCAACACACTTAGCTAGTATAAATTTTCCAGGTAATTGTCCAAAACGGCTTTTTCGCTATTACGCTACATGAGATGATAATGTACTTGAATGAATACCGAAGCCGGTACACTCCTATGTTGTACGGACGTCTGTGTATTAGAGGTTTGGAAACGTTTGTAATACCAAACTCATTTTTAGTGCTTGATTAGTTTTGCTTTCTCTTCATGAATGAGATTACACGAAAAATTACTCCGCAGCTAATGTTTCTGCATTATCTCGATCGAAATTGTCCGATATCTTCGTCTCGTTTTCACCATGATTTGGATGTCTCCTAGACTCAAGCTAATTATATTTCTCCTTCACGTTGTCGTGTTTTCTGCTAATTATTTTCTTGAAGACTAGGCTTCTTCATCATATTTCCACTGTACGTCTGGACCGAAAGGAGTGTTAAATGACATATGCCAAGACAGCCTCTATGAGCGATCACATTGTTTTTGGTCTCCAGTCACGAGAACAGCGTTCTATGCAAACAACATCATTGTCGACATGGTTTACTTATACTAGAGACACTTTCGCGGCTTATAGATAGGTGCATAAAGGGATAGGGACATCATTTTGAATAATCCACAGCTCCTCTGTTTCGATTTTGGAGTCTAGATATTTCACGTACATAAAAGGAAATAGTAATTCTGTTATATGGAACCGATTGCAGAAAATTGTACAACATGTCACGGGGTAGCACTTCCCTTTGAGTGGGTGGTACATTAATAGATCATAGATTGTATTACTGGGCAACACAACATTTGGGATCCAATTAATCTTTAGCAAAAAATGGAGAAGAGACTAATTCCCGCACGAGTGTCAGAATGGAATAAAAAGTAAAGTCAATTGCACTTCAGTGATTGCAACACTGCAAACCGCGAAATCATTCTGAGAGTGGCAAGATCCATATTAAGTACTTTCTAATGCACTATTTGATACTCATCACAGTGTTTTTTTCCATTTTTTTCCACTGTGCGGATCCCAGTACTTCTAGCCTTCAATTCGTTTTTTCGTCATCTTCTTGAACGGCGTAGAATGCTGGTTGAGCGAGTCTCCTTGCAATCTCGAGGATAGCCTTGCTGTGGCGTTCCCTAGGACACTGTTGCTGACTGCCGGAGAGAAGTGGGGAGGTGGAGCTCGGCTCTACGCTCGCCGTGACCAGCATCGCAACCACTTGGCCATACCACTCCTTGGCAAGATCCATGCACTTGTTATATTGTTTTTTTCCTAGTCTTTCTCAAAAACAGTGTAGCATTTCTATGTGAATGTCGTAGTATCGAAAGGACCGAAAATTATGTGATATTAGGTCAAGGCTCCTTTTCCTTCATTGACTTTTCGTCTGATTATAACTTTGTAAAATTGAGATGTACTAATGAGCTTTTCTCATACAAGATTACCAAAGCTTATGAATTACCGAAAGAGTGCATGTGGCGCAGTGGTTAAGTGTGCTCTGCGTCGCACACGATGTCAATGGTTCGATCTCGCGCTCATGGCTCCTCAAGCCATCCATCCCTCCGGGATCGGCAATTTGGTAGCAGACTGGTTTCAGACTTGTCTGGGAGGATAGGCAGCACTTATTCGGTTCAGCGTAAGGCTACCGCGAGTCATTGTGAAGGCCAGATATGCATTCAATCACGTCAAACGGAGTTAAGAAGTTAGGACGAATCCATGGCGCATCCCTCAGGGACTGACCAATGCCGAGCGCTTTATCCTTTAGCTTTTTAACTTATCGAGGATGTAAGTAAGCTAAGAGTGAACCTACCTCAACAAAACCTGATTAGCTACTCTCAGGGACGATGTTTTCTCAAAGAAGTCGCAATAAAATTAGGATATGAGTTCAGATATGAAAATTATAAGATAGACAGCTGTTACAAAAAGAGTGGTGACAAAACAAGCGTCGGTAGTGCACCTGGTTGACACGCGCTCTTGAAAAGGGTGAAATGTGGGTTTGAAACCTGTCTGAAGTCAAAGTTTTGCACATCGCTCGACATTGTTGGGTACATTTGCTATATCACACCACCGGTAAAAAGGCAGTCAAATAAAAAGACTTATTGTCGATAAGCAACTGTTATGGTCATTTTAGCGTAGAAAGAGTAATGTGCAAAATGGGCGTCAGTAGTGTAACGGCTAGAGCACGCGCTCCCGGAAAGAGTGAGGGACGGGTTCTAATCCTGGCCAACGAGGAAGTTTTGCACATCACTCTGTATCAATGGGTATATATTTGTAACATCATACTACCGCTAGAAGCGGTTGAATGGAAAAAATCTCGTTTGATCTTCAACTGTTGTGATTATTAAGCTTGCAGTTGATCACTTATGATTTTGATAGTTTAACGAAAAGTCTGTGTCAGCGAAAGCAATCAAAGGCTTAATAGCACAACTGCTTTGGTAGACTGCATAGCCTTTGATTCAGAATATGTAATGACATATGTCTCGCAAAAATCTCGTCACTTGTGATGGTCATAGGATATCACGTGGAAGAAAATTAGCCCTTTCTTGATTTCGGCTTGTACTAGCAGCAGTGCTCCTTTCCTTAATATTGACGCATGTCACGGATGTTGTACTCTTTATTCCTGGAGAACTGGAGCACTAATGGAGCACTTGCAATTCTCGTATTACAGTACAAGTGGACGTTTATCATGTAGAAGTATTTTGAGCAAAACAAACGATCAGTTGGCAGTGTCTACGTGGTGTTTGTCTGTGTGAATACAATATCTGGTTACCGTATGGAATAGTTTTCATCTGAGTCATGTAAGGGGCAATTTTTTTGGTGAAATAATAAAACCGTGCATATTCTAAGCGGCGATTATCGATATGAATATGGAAGTTACACTGACATGTGCTCTAACGAAACTTTATATCATGCAGAACTCAATTAGAATTTGAATTTTGTGTGTCTAGTTATTTCTTACTGGGCAATTAACTGTATTTTCAACTCATTGTGTATCGTATGTACGCTATAGTGTGCACAGGCGCGGTGATTGAGGCCCTCTAAGACCATTTTCAAAGCTCCTTATTCCCTTCTTGCACTTGTCCCATTTTCTAAACCGAGCAGTCGAACGACGATCAGAAGTTGGTTTTTGAAGTCTGCGCTGATCACTGGCTGCCATAAATGTACTCGTTTCTACCTCTTCTATCGACCGCTTTTTTATAGACCCTCTCAAAGTAATATAATCTGATAAGGATAAAACATATTTTGAGCTGTCAGGTCTAGTGGTCTACAGGCGCTTGTTTCATCTAATTGGACTCATTATTGGATTTGGATTTGTTACTAACATTGGATCTTTTACTCGACGTCGATTCTTTTGAAGAGGATTGTTTAACCTCAGGGTATTGGCTGAACCGAGGGAGGGGGTACTGATGAGTCCCAATAGGACGAAACAGGCGCCTGTATCATTAGACCTGGCAGTTCAAAACATGTTATATCCTTATCAGATTATACTCGTTTCTATTAAATACTTATTGAGTACTTATTCCAATGCGATGCTGTAATTGAACGGTACTGATCTTTCATTTTCATGGATATCTACCATAAGAATCTCATGGACGTTGTAAGGCTAAGTGGCATGTAACGAGGTAGCGGATAATTGGTAAAAAGAGATGCTATTGAATTCGAAAAATGGGCATCCCGTCTTTGCGGTCATATTGACGTATAGTTTTATAAATACATATACGTCTTCTTGCCTAAGTACGTGAAAGTTCATGAAAGTAACTGAATTCTCTAGAACCTGTGTTCAAGTGGGTGGGGAATATGTTGTTTTATCCATCGAAATAAAATTGAAAATCGAAAAAGAATTTCCGGGACGAGTTAGTTCCTCTCCATAAGTCTTCCAGTAACTTCTCGTTTTTTTTTTTGCTGATAGACTATATATAGATGAAAGTTACTGTTGAGGACAATTTTAAGACGTCTCTGCTGCACAACTATAGATACCCAAGTTTTGCAGTAATATCTTGCTCAATTTGAAAAGGTGCTTCTTTTCTCACATTAGAAGTTAAATGAGTTCAGCGCATACTGCATGCGATGAAAATTCTGCGTCCTCAATTAGGATAAACCTCTTTATTCTTTTTATTCGAAGTATAATTCTAAGCGGTGCTCAATAAGTCAATATGTTCTTCCTAAGCAGACACGACATTGTTAATAAAACATTATTTAACTAGCTGACGTTTCGGCTGTTATGCCTTCTTCGGAAAGTGGAAAAATCATATTGACGCACAGTCCATTCACGCAAACATTTTCGTAACCCTAGCAGAAAAACCCCTTGTCGAATCTCATTGTCACTTCTTCCTCTGAAGAAGAAAGCTCTACCGAATCTAATTCATGTTTCCTCTTTCACCATGTAGCATATGTTCTCAAAGTTTCTAAACCTGCCCTTGTTGGTGTTCTTGCTTTCTTTCGTGCGTTTTTTTCCTTTCATTGGAAAATGTGTTCATGAATGTAGACATTACCACATGTTATTACTTCTATGTTCCCATGTTATTATTTGAAATCTCAGCCATTTCGTCAATCTACCTTAAGTACCCTTGAGTTGATTCCATCCATATCAATTGCCTCAATTTTCCCTCAAACCCATCCAGTAGTGTTTGTTCTCCTATCTAATTATGATGCCACCTCTAGATAGCCCATCCAACACCTCTTGAGTACCGGTTTTTCTTACGGAATAAACGTTAATCGTCACCGTTTCTCCCCACCTGTTCATCGTCCTTGTTCGTATTTTGTTGTGATTAAGGACACCAAAATACGATACCAGTTACACTACCGTATTCATCTGCTGTGTTGTCTGACTAATATCTAATTCACATAACACATGATGCCTGCATGCATATTCGTTCCCATTCTATTGGTTATAATAATCATTTTTCTTTGCCATCTTATTGGTCACCAAAGTTGTCTTCAAAGCTTTCATGGAATGTCGTCACTTTGTGCATTACAACTGTGTTTTGAAAGAGACTGAATCAAATGTCGACTAAA